GCAGCGCCGGCTCTACCATTTTTTGCTGCCCCAAGCAAAAAAAAAAAAAAATACAACAACGCTCGGACTGCCAAAGTGAGCAAAAAGAAAACCAAAAAGAAACCCCAACCACTTGGACTGCTGCCACCCGAACTGCCAAAGCAGAAAAAAACCCAACAACAACGCTCGGACTGCCGCCGCCCGAACTGCTGAAGTGCAAAAAACAAAAAAGTCGCCCGGCCTGTGCTGCCCCAAGAATGGACGGAATGCCGCCCCTGGCATGTGCTTCCTCCGCTGGTGCCTGGAGCCAGCCCCGCAGCCCAGGCCACAGCCTGGTTGCGACAGCTGATCGCTGAGGTGGGGCGGCTGCTCCACCCCCATGCAAGAGGGCGCTAGAGTAGGCCAGAGCGGCTGCAGAGGCTGGTAGCCAATCAGAGAAGGGCCAACTGAGAGCCAATCAGGGCCGAGATTAGAGCCAGCCAATCAGGCCCTATATAAAGGCTGCCCAGGCGAGCAGCAGGCAGTCTGTCCCAGACCTTGATGGGAGAAGGTCTGTCTTCAGAGCAGGAGACAAGCATCTCCGAAAGAGCAGTGCTGGGCAGGCTCAAGGGAGCATGCTACAGCTCTGGCCCAAGACCTGCCAGACTGCGGGCCCTGATAGAAAGGGACAGTTGGACAAGGAGAGAGCAGGGAGGCTGCCACTGGAGGATCCCTGGGTTGAAACCCAGAGTAGTGGGTGGGCCTGGGTCCCCCCCTTCCCTCTTGTACTGCACCTGGCCATGTGGTGGCTGAGTCAAACTGCAACCGGCCCTTGAGACAAGGGGCTAGACTTTGGGGGTTTTGGTTGGCCACTGAGGCAGATGCAAGGACTGTTGCTAACCTGCTTCCCCCCTCCCCGCCGGAAGGAGATGAGCCACATGGAGAGACCAAAATGGTGGAGAAAAGAGACTTCTATTGGATGAAGGACACTGTCAAGCAGTGAGCAACGCGGCTCCAGATGCCAACGGAGGACAAGAGACGGATGGGATGCTGCCAGCAGAGGGCGTTCCCCATGGACTGAGCTAATTCCCAGAGCGACCAGCGGGAGGCGCCATGCTGGTGAGTCCCAACCCCGACAA